GAATAAAAAATCTCTGGAATTCGATTCCAGTTGTGGACTTCAGTGTTTCAGAAAACACGGGAACTCAACCTCATAATAACCGAGATTTGTGCTCTGAATTGTGTATACAGTAGTGTTATTCTAATGCATTTGAAATTCAAAATCGCACATCTGCCCCGAGGAAGACTCTAACTGTGACGTTACAATGCACACATTCGCAAATACCTAGATGCCGGATCAGCCGTAAGCCGGATTACTCGACCGCCGGATCTGGATCTACGGAGGTCGCAGTCGCAGTATTATATATATTGGTTATATAAGTACATCCTTTTTGTAGTAATAAAATTGTATTTATTTGAAAACTCTGTGATCTAGTGGCCGATTTTTACGATGTCGCTTTGGGATTGGGATTAACATCAAGTTCGGTCGTTGTAGAAGAAATAACATTTGTAAAATGTTTGTGGTACCTAAAGTAGGTTCTTACTTAAAATACCGGCCAAGTGCCAGTCGGACTCTATATATATTAGTACGTACATATTTTCAGAGGTAAGTAACAGTGACGAGAGATGAATGGTTTGGTCTCTTTCTAAAAATACCCAACTCATTTAAAAAAAAAAATATTATAAAAGGCCATTATAGAGTTTCAACTTAAAATTATTTGGACGGTAGCAACAAGTAACCTTATCCTCAGAAGTAATCAAAAATAAAAGAAATTTCAAAAGATTGAATTTGAACAAGGGCTTTGCTTTCTGTACTTGTTGCGTCCTTAAAAATTCATGGTAAACACAACAGTAGCCATAATTCCGAAAAAATATTATGTTAAGTAACAAATACTCGACGCATACTATAATAGTAATCGATAGCTGTAGATGTACACACACACAACGGTGACGCGGGGATCGTGCGCTCATCCGGATCATCCGGGCCGGATCAGCCTCGTGTCGCCCGGAGATAAAGCCGAACTACCCCTACGTACCGCCCCGTGTATGCGAGGATTTATGTAGGTAAGGCTAGTCCTGAAGTACTGTTACTGTTTCAAATTCAAATTTGGAATTCGTTTGTGTGTCCGATCGCAAACATAATACATATTATCAATAATTTTTATATAAAAGTTACAGAAGGTTGCTTTCGTTGATATTTTTTAATATTAAAAACAGTCTTATTAGAAGTAAAATTATTGCACTATTAATTAATTTCAATTGGGGAGTAATAGTAGATTGTTTAGTAAGGGAAGTGGCCCTTACTAAACAATCTACTAGCGCAGTCCAGAGTTTACGCATTTATGTCCCTGTTTAATGCTAGCCCGAGTATAAATATATAATAATCGTCTTGCAGTGCCCCGAGTTAAGAGAACATTATGTATTTAAATACTAACTAACACTTCAGGTGTGTCACAGTTAGATTAGACCACACATCTCTTTGAAGTAAGAACATAGATTTTGAAAGAATGTTTTTACTATATAGAGCAATGGACGAAGAATTTCAGGATGATGATTTGTAAGAGAGCGTTTCTAAATCCAGAGCGCAGCGAGGGATATACACAACACAACATATACAACCTTCTATGACATAATAAGTAAATGCAACAAAGAAGATAATACGTTCATTTATTTACTTAAAAAACAATAAGACAATCTTGAAAATGGCCGCTAACGCCTCCGTTTTTATAAACGTCATGTTTTGTATGTCGTTTACGTAGACGGTGGTGCCCTTCCTGAACTGTCACTCATATTCATAGGGATCCTTGTCCTATTGTATGTGTATGTGTGATTCTAACTCCTTACACAACATCAGCGCTGATGCGACCATCTTCGCACCAGCTCATGCTGAGACAGGGTCTTCGTTAACCTTTTTTATTATTGCTATTTTATATTCCTTTTTATATTCGAATCATTGTGTAAAAGTAATGGGAGTTAATAAAAATATTTTTCTTTCATTCGTTAAATCCAAAAACACATTGTGTGAAAAAAGGTTTATCCTTTCTTGCATTTTTTAAAAGGATGAAATTTTCATTATGCTCTTATATATTGTTCGCGGGATTTTGTAAAAGACTTTGTAACACAGTTTTAGCATACTTTCATTCTCATTTTTCGAGAAAGACAGTAATTACTTATAAAACAAAATAAATCCCAAATTGAGTCAACGATTTTGAACGAAGGCAAAATGTATTTCGCGTGTTTGTATTTTTTCACAAACTTCTTTTAATGTGCGCGCGGTTTTCGTTGTGGCTTGTAATGATTCTATGTTCTTGATATCTTTGGTGATAAGAACTTTTACTTACAATTTTCTCATTCCTAATTCAAATTATTTTTAGTCCCTAGGGATTAAAACGCTATTTTGGTTCCTAGAAACAGCTCTAAAATTAGCTCTTTTCGAATACTTAAAAAAATATTTTTTGGAATAAACAATCTCGAACACAAAACTACAAGTTACACGAATATTTAATAATTGAAATACGATAGGGCAGAATTATAAATAAACAGTTATACAAATATTGACGAAGCAGCATTTACAACCTATCATTAAAATTCAATATGTTTAAACTACCGTTGATTTTACCAATAAAACATTTTTACAAGATAGGTTATGTCTAACATATAAAATAAAAAAACAGTAATACGATACAATAAAAAAACATTAATCGGCTTATCTATATAAAACCGGCTTATTAGTATTAAATACTGTAGGCAAAACAGCCGTTAGTTGAAGCTAATAAAAGTGAAGAATACCTGAATGGTAACGCATTAAGATCTCACCGATTCGCCGACAACCACTCTTGAGATATCATCCCTTGTCAGTTTGCGATTTGGATATGAATCCAATACTTATATACTTTGCATTATTTTATAATATTTTTATTTAATCTCCATCGACTGAAACGGTTTACAGCAGAGTATTATTTTAAAACAAACTACCCAAATAAATGCTTTTGCTACTTCTTTGAAGAAATTATGTAAAGAAAAAAAATCAGTTGAAATACGAGTATTAAGCTGTGTCTTAGTAATATCAATCAGTGTGTTGTAACAATTTATAAATGAGTATTGCAATTATGGACAAATATATCTTATAAAGCCAATAAATATAGATACGTATAAATATATGCTTGGTTAAAGAAACTTATCTTTACTTTCCGACGGTACACAGGTACGAATTGACAAAAAGATATATCTCCGACGGCCGTAATCCGGCTGGCATTGTGCAACAGCTAATCGGCACGGATCGACCGACAGCGCGCTCAAAATTAATAATGATTTATAACGCCCGATTAGACGCTTTAGGCATTAAACCAGAAGACGGTGGGTCTTCGCGCCGTGTTTAATATGTGGTGAATTAGAAAGGTAGGTAGCAGCGCGCTTTTCCTTTGTTTTGTGTCGTTAACGGAGCAGCACCTACGCGCTTTTTAAAAAGATTCGAAAGTTTTTTTTTGTTTTTCTGCCTCTTATTTTCAATAGTCATTGAAAAACCTGACATCGCTTTTGAATTTTGATGGATACCTACAAATACTAGTGAATTTAAAAGAACAAGCTTTCGATTCAGCTTTAGAATTTTCAAAAATTGGTTGAAGTACTTATAGGTATTTCTATAAATATTATTATTTTGAAATTTAAATTATCATGCCCTCTTTTCATGTTAAACTGCAATATAAATAAAAAAACACATTAAAAAGATCGTGCCCTTTCAAAGCGGTCTTTGTATGTGTGCGTGCAGCGGCTTAATTCCAGACGGGATGTCCCGGATTAGATTTAAGGGGTAAAAGAACTAGAGCGAGACGAAGCTTTATGGGTCAAGCTATGAAAGACAGGGACAATCGACGGCGGAGATTTAGAGATTATGATTCATAAAGAGAAGAGAATGAATGAAAATTATTACGAGGGGCAAAGGCGGTATTATGAAAGTCGATAGATCCGCGTTTCGGATTCCGATTCGGCGATAAACCAACTATTCGTGAAATTAGACGCGCGAGCTTTGGATTGATTAATTATCTCGGCTAATCGATAATTTTAACAGTGCAGTGAATCACGTGATAGGTTAGGATACGAATTCAGTCAGGTAACTTATTAGATCAAAAGTAATCCCAATCAACGATCCCCCATCAATTTATACGCAGATCCATGAAAGAAATCTAAAACTGTGGAATGCTTCTTGAGATGAATCAAAAGTTGATTGGTATTTCACAAATTCATAACCAAGACAACGCTTTTATAAATACCTCTAATGTTATAAACCAAACACAAAAGGTTTGTAGCTTCATCGAAATATATTATATCTATTAAATGTAGTAAGAAATTTATTAAAGCGGCTGCAAAACTGTTTCTTTTGCACGTGTTGTCCATTCGAAAACAATTAGAATGTTTTATTGAGCGGGCAACAATTGAGCCAATCCGAACGGTTACATTGTGGATATCTACGGTACCATTATCACACGGGAGATAAGGATATGAGAAATGGCCAGACAACGTTGGAGACGTGACCGGGAATAATTTGCCGACAGTACTTGTTGCTTGGCTTAGGTAAGTCCGCTTCGCCGTTTTATAGTGTGTTTCGTTATTTTTAATTGTATTTTAAGTACTTTCTTACCTTTTTTTCAATGTTGTTTTGTTGAATTAATTTGGTACCTCCATATCACTGATAGTTACATTAAAAACTTATTTGTTGCATTGGCCATAAATAACGAACAAGGGTTTTTCCTGTTCATTGAATTCCATTAGACTACTTTTTATTAAGAGCCCATAAAGATGTTTTCTGAAGTGATGGCACTTTTGTCACTAACTTTAAAAATTGTTTATTTATTTGGCCTCTTTGTATTTCCGCTTTAATTAATATTTATTTGAAATCATAGAATTTACAATCAAATGATTACACCTCACATCAGTGTAAGTGGAGTTGAAGACCAAAGATAGCTAAAATTCAGCCAGTACTTTTGGAAGCAGTCACATCCATTTCTAAAATCCTGATTTGTTGAAGGAATAAAAAAGGAATACTTGGCAGAGAAGTATGGAAATAAGAATGTCAGTACTTACCGGTTATGCTTTTATTGAGAAGGTTGTTGAAGGCTTCTTTCTTAGGCGACAGATGAGGGGTGTGCGGTGTGAGCGGTGTGTGAGGGTTCCTCTCATGATGGACTGGGGCCGAAGGGGGCCGCGGCACAGCCCTTTCCTCTGGAGACCTCCGCGGAGGGGTCTTGCTACGCCTCAGATCCGAAGCCAGATTCTGTGAGCAAAGAACAACGAATTTGAATAAAACAATCATGAAACATTTCAGTACTTTTTTATTAGTTTATGCTGCTTCGATATACATTAGCTATACATCTCGAGGGTATTTATCTGGAATTTATAAATTATTTGAGATTATTGTATTTATAATATGTGATTAGACTATTGTCGGTTGTATTACTTATTGAATAAATAATATAATAATATTAATTAATCTCTCTCCACAAGAAAAAATAAATAACAAAGGTACAAGTAGATAAGCTTAACCAATAGTAAATATTTGCTTGTGGATTGCTAGTACCTGTGATAGGTAATAAAAAAACAACAAATAACTTTTACAAGTTATAGCTTACATAAAAAAAGACAATGGAGATTGCGTTTGATACATTCAATTACACATTACAACTCTAACTAACTAACTAACTCTAAAGATCTATCATTCGCAAAATCCTTAAAATTATATCGCACTGTATTATAGGCGAAAGTTTGTTATGGATGCCACGTATATAACCTATTTACAATTAAAGGTGCAGGACAAAGGATTACAATTTTATTAGTCTACAGCCAATTCAGATGATAATGGCGGTTTACATGAAGTCGTAAATGCAGCGGTACCAGCAGATATAGGTGTCTGCCTTGTTATAAATTGATACACGCATGCAACGTTTACTATGGGAAAATTTATTCAATGACAATTCATTGTAAAGTCACCTCCCTAGTTGATAAAATCTAAGCTAGCTAGAACTTTCAGAAATAATAACTGAAATAACATATGGATATTCATTTTTATATATTACTAATCATATTTTAGTTACTTAAATAGCAAGTACCCAACAGTAAAAAGTCTTGCAGAAGCCGAATAAACGAGAGATAAATTAACAGTAAATATGGTTAATTATATTTTTATTCTGAAGCATTAATCTGCACGACTTATAATCTATATTTTTCTTTAAATAATCTTTAAATCTTTTCTTTAAATCTCAATAGTTAATATATATTTCAACTTTGATTAACTCAACAGAAGATGTCCCCTGGTGAGAGATCTTAAATTATTATATTAGTTTATCCATTTCTTATCCTTGTAAAGGTTTTTTCTCACAGTGCTTTAATCTGTTAATTACTTACAAATATGTAAAGTATTACATACTTTAAAACTGATAATAATAATCCATTATTTTTTTAACATTATTACAGAGAGTGTAAGATTGATTCGTAATTCGTGAAATGGAAGTGTTTTTTAACGAACTGCTGCATCATAGTGAGATTAAAATATAAAAAATATATTTTTTTTTAACCACATACGAAGGTTGCCGATAAGTACTACCCACAACCGCCATTGTTGATTGGTCCACTTGCATACACATTGGTGCAATATCGTTGCGTATGCGCAGCGCGTCGCGTCGCATACAGACGCGGCAATGTGCAAATGGTGGTGCTGGTAGTCTGAACTGGGCCGTTGTTTTTCATTCATTTTTATAAGTAACTGTTATTTATACAATGTTAGCTTCGCAAAGTATAATATAGGCAGTCAACACCGGTACTTATTTAAATCGAATCAAACCAACTTTACCTTATTATGCAGGGTAATATGTAAATAAATCAAAACTATCAAATTTCTCCAATTGAATTTAAGCTTCATCTGTTTTGATATTATAACATTCGCAATTTACACTGAGTAGTAACATGATATTCTATTGATTGTACAAGACCATTAACAAATTTATAACTTTTTATTTAATTATCACCTACTTGCTGGAATCCCGAATATAGAAATGAGAGTCTTTTTTTTACTTCCAATGCCAATTCACGTCACCATCACGAAACATGTTTATCTCCATCAGTATCTAGTGTCAATGGATGGAGAAAGTTTAGCTTAAGCTTAGAGCATTTTTGTGGTATCAGTTGAATTGTTTAATAATGCTAAAACTATCGTTTATTTATTTGAAATTAACTACTTAATCTTAGATCTAATGATATATACTAGAAAAAAATCCACGCGGAACAGGCAGCAGACAGGACAAATGGTAAAAAAATAAAAACATAACTACTTAATCTTAGTTTTTTATATCGAATACATATATATAATATTATGTCAATGAATTATTAAAATTTTGATGCTATGCAGTCCCGACTATGAGGTTCATGCTAACAATTCCATTAAAAGGTAAATTTGCAATAGGCTAACGTCTACTTAAATATAAAAGAATATTTTCCACATCAGATTTATCCATTACGAATAAAGTTATCCTGTTAATATTAAAAAATATCATAAATAATGTCTAAAATCGATAAAAAATGATACCTTTCGATAACCTTGTTGACAATACTAATTGTAGTATAACTAATTATGAATACTGCGATATAAGTTATCTTACTTTTCTAGTGACTAAAGATACAGCTGTTGTTATTATTTGTGTTAATCCAGTATCGAAAAATTCCAGTGAATTAAATTAATGTTAGCAAATATTAAGCTTTTCAAATACATTTCATTTATTCACCTCATATCATAATATTTAAATAATAACAATGTAATAATAATAATCATTTATTTCAGATAAACATCAATAGAACTATTAGTACAAGTTAGTATTAATGTCAATGTTATATATATATAATCCTCAAAATTATCGTCAATTATGACAACTTCTCATGGATATTAATTTTGATGAAAAATTATACTTGGTTGAAATCTGTTTTAGATAATCAATCAAGCATGGATCGTTTCAGGACAACACTGAATGCTTAAATAAAGCATCAGCGAATTGTAATCTACGATTTTAAAAGTCGAACCACTTAAGAAAAGTCGAGATTCAAATTGGACACTCGGCCATTGCGTCAGAATGCTAACCGTTCAGGAGCTTTGATTACATTCATTGAGTATCGTTGCTATACTACATGTGTCGACTTGACCGCATAATGGTGAATCTCTGAAATGATAGTGTTTTAATAAGGTTAGTGATGTGCATGACGACACTGCGGCCAGTCTGATCAAATTGATATGCTGTTACAAGAATTTTGCGAACCATTCTCAGAAATTTTAAGGAAGTGCTCATTTAAGCAATTGTATGGATTTTTTTAGTCCGAAAAATATCTTACAGATAAATTTATGCTGCAAAGCTATTCGTGGTTCAAAAATATGGATTTATTTTATAACATTTATACTGTACAAGAATATGATCAAGACAAATCTGAAGTTTGAAAGCTAATTATTTAACTTAACAGGACATGAATGTAATAGTTTTAGCTAATTCAGATTTTATATACCTACTTTATTTGGGATAACCAACGACCTTCATTGGGGATACCGCATTGCTCTAAACATAGAGACAGCAATATTCTGTTTATCCAAATCCCACGCTTCTGATCATCAACATTAGTAGCAATTCTTTTCAAACCTTATGGAATCAACAAGTGCACCAATATCAGCCAATAAAGCAATGTCCGTAGAATCGTTGATTCGCGCCACAGATACGTCTAATATCGTATTGGTATTTGTGATGCCGTTTGACCCCTGTTAACCCAGATTACGCTCGTCGGCGCCTGATTCGTCCTCCGTTCCTGATTGTGTTGTGACACAAACTGTAATGTATTATGTGTTAACTCTTGCTGCAATCACAGCAGCAACAATTACAATAGATATGTTCGCCGAACTCGCGAAATTGCTACAGCAATGTTGGCAGTGCTATCTTGACTTTTAACTTGATTTGCATTACGTTTAGTTTATGGAATTACTGTAAGATGACTTTGAAGACATTTTGATTTTTTTTTTAAATAAATAACTAAAAACGGGATAATATAACAATAGAAAACTATACTACTGCTATAGGCTGTTTGCACTACGAAGTTCTTTAAAAATCTTCGGAGATGTTACTGCATAAATTACTATTGCTTAGATGAAAATACTACATTTTAATAGTAAAAATAACCAATCGATAAAAAATAATATCTGCTTTGCTACTTTGATTGGGGTATATTATGCAAATAATTATTGTTCCCTGCTGGAACTTGATAGGTATTTGAATTAGAAAATAATGTGTGGGAACTTTTATTATTAAGACTTTTTGTTTAAATACGTCGTAGTTAAATAAGCTCATAATTTTTGTGGTTTAGGTTTCGGCATCCTGAAATCATTTGTATTTTGAACAACAAGGGATCAAATAATTAATGAATTTAGGAAAACACTGTGGTTACGAAAGGAAATTGAATTTGCATTCAAGATATTTACTAACAAAACATAACTTTCACTTCCGTAACGTATTGAGAACGGAAGGAAAATCACACTACCAATTTTTTTTAACGGTTTATAAAAGCATTATGTACGAATATTCACTCGTTTTCTTTATGACATTATTTTATGGTTTACTAGCTGCCGACCGCGACTTCGTACGCGTGGAGTTAGTTACAAATAAAGGTTCACTGCTCGTTCCTCCTAGGTGATAGCGTGATAATATGTAGCCTATATGTTAAGCCGACATCTAAATAATATTCATGCCAAATTTGAAGTAAATTCTTGCAGTGAAAACAGTACTTTTTGAGTTTATCCCGGACATACATACAGACAAACAGACAAAAATTCTAAAAACTATATTTTTGGCTTCGATATCGATTATAGATCACACCCCAAGTATTCTTTTAAAAAATATTCAATGTTCAGTTTTGACTTTCCTACCATTTTATTATATGTATAGATAGTATAATAGTAGGCCAACATTAAAACATCTAAAGTCATAATGAAAAAAAATACACTGGTATGTGTGCAAAAATGGGTAATTTTTTAGTTCAATGGTTTGTCAACGATTGTTACAGTCCACAACTATCTAAAATCATATGCATAAGATTGACATTGTACAATCTTTTAAAGATAAAATGTAATATTTGAAACTAAATTATGGTTGTTAGTGTTTACCGCATTTAAATAAATATTTTGTTCAATTACAATAAGCACTGAAGGATTCTCTTTTACTACAATTTTGAAATTGACAAGATAAAAAACACATA